AAAACCCCAAAACCCCAAAACCCCATTAAGAAATTTTATGATATTGGCAAATATAAAAGAGTTAACAAATACTTGTAAAAGCCATTTTAAATTATTTTTACTTAATTTTTTCACTCATGAAGACTTTAAACAAATTTATATAATAGTTTTCTTGGAATTTTTACTTCTTTTATATGAATATTGTAGAATTAGCAAAAGGCAAAATAAACTGTAATGCCTTTGTCTGATTAAATGATTTTGTAGCTATCACACAGGCTTAGTTAATAATAGTTTTTGAACAAGTCTTATCTCACATATTAACCTTTAGAGTTAATTGATGATAATTAAATAGTATTTTGGGTAAATGTTAAAAGCAAGGGTTAGAAACTAATCTCCTAGCTTTTGTATATCCTTCTGTGAAATACAGTAATTTCCTTCATAAAATTTATCTAACTAGTTTTCAAAATAAGCTTCTCATTGTAAGATAAGGTGGTTTACTTTTTAGACAATAAATCATCTTTATAAGGGTAGTTAGAGACAGATAAACAGAAATTTCTATTTGCAAATAAATCGACAAACAGTCCATTATTCATTTTAGAATCTCTTAATTCAGGTCTTAATGAGTTTTTGAATTACTCAATCTTTTCTAGACGACATAAGTTATCAATATCAAGTCTATAGGTAGTGATTGAATACTAATTTTTAAACTATAAGTAAAATATGTTTGGCAAAATTGTATCTAATCCATATTTAGCAACTTTTTTAAGCTATTTGTCTTTTTCTTCTCTAGGAATATAGCATTTACCAAATAATGATCGATTTTGAAAATTATAAACCCATAATTCATCTGCCATTTTAAATAAAATGTAATTCTTGTTTAGGTTAATTTATTTCCCATAAATGTACTAGCTCAGTCTAACTTTTCCATAAAATTTGTATTTACGTTTTTTGTCAAAGAAATGAAGGCCAGTTTATAGGCTCTAACATACATAGTACCTATTAAATTCATTGTTCCATTCTTTGGTTAAATCTTTAGTCTCATAATCATCCCCCTTCATATTTTTCCTGAGAAATGTAATGATCAAATTTTGCTGTTTGGATGAGGTAATCTAAATAATATCCTTATTGTATTTGAAGATCATTGATTCCAACGATCTCCTTTGGGATACAGTCACGTGAAGTGTTTTAGTTTAAATTTTCCCTAATTATGTCTATTGATCATGCTTTTCTATATCATATCTGACTGCAAAATCCCAGTCCATTTTTATAATTATTTAATATATTAATATAAATATCTTATGGAAAAAATGAATAAGTACGGTTTTGGGGTTTTGGGGTTTTGGGG